TTTGTAAACTTTCCAGCGGAAATCTCAGACTGAAGCCTGTTTTTGAATGAGTTTCTTAATGGAAAAACCTGAAAAATACGTTATTCAACATAGAATACCCATGTTTTGGAAAAAGGTTTTTTTCAAAACTAAAAGTGATATTTTCTGTTGACTGGTCTACTTCTGGATGATGTGCAAGACATTCACCATTACTGTGTCAGAATTTCTCAGAACATATGATGAATGAAAATATATTTTCTGAATATTTGTTCGCTTTTTACAATAATAAAATAAAACTTTTCAGTTTGCTGAAAAATAAGTTCCATTTTTCAATCGTAGGATAATATTTTGAGTGAAAAAATAAGTTCTCGCTGAGGTTGTAGATCTACTTCTGGTGAAAATTTGGAAAAACTATTTTCTGTCCCTGAAAGTTCACGATATTTCTTCACTTTCAATTTGGATCCACTCCTTAGTCACCTAGGTATCCCATTATGAGCACAAAATTCCCTATAGTTCCATTATCATTACTATTATTTTTGAATCCCTATCATTCAGGTGAACAAAATATTCAGTTTTATGATTTTTTTCTTTCTAACAGGGTTCTTGAAACTGATAGTTTTCCGATAAAATAATTGGACCAGACCAGTTATATATAATGAAAAGTTAATTTTCTTATTTGAATTGGAGGGGTTATATTTTCAGGAGTGATTGATTTTTGGGAAAGAAAGTTTTTGGCTTTCTACTACTCCATCTCGATACAAAAAAAGGATGAGAGAATCTTCCAAAGAAAGGAAGGAAGTAATCAATTTGAAAATTAGTAACTCTATACATGGATGTGTAGATCATGCAAAGAAGTAACTTTCAGACACAAACTGGAAGAAAGTCCTCCTGAAACAGCTACTTTCATATAAACTTCGAATTACACGAAAGAAAAAAATTCTTTCGAAACAAATACTTCTATATGAACACTGAATTATACAGAAGATACTTTTCTCTACTCAGTTTGTATTTCAAACATTCGTTGTGGAATTAAAATCAGATATCATTCACATGAGTTCTACTATGAATGAATTGTAACAAATTGCTCTTACATGGAACACTTTTATCCTCACTGGTATGCATCGATGTTTCGCCACAAGCCACTTGCCCTGAAGCTCTTCAGTACTAAATTGGATAACATTATAGAAGATACACACACTTCAGTCATGAATTACGATTTTTAGTGTCACGGAATAAGCTTGATCTGTTTATGTCATCGATGACATCGTAATGACATCCATTCACCTATTTGATTTAATCCCAGCTAAGAGGAATCTTATTTGAATTGGAGGTGTTATATTTTTAGGAGTGATTAACTTTGGTTTTCAGTTCATGGAAATGAAAGCTTATTTTCAGAAATGTTTTTTATATCGATGTAATTGATGATCAATTATTTTTGTGAGTACCTGATTGAATTCAATTATTGTGAAATAAATTAAAATTATTGTTAATATTAATAATTTCATGATTTTCTAGCTATTGCCGTTTTCTGACAAATTTTATAACACATATTTGTATAGAATGCAATTTGAAATTGATAGCTTTTTTATTTCTTTGAAAGACTTTCAGAAATTAATCTCTTCGAAAAAAATTTCCTTTATAAATTCAAACATTGTTTCGTTTTCAAACGCCAACCCTCCATATTCTTCAACCACAAGTTTTATGTTGATCCAAACCATGATTATTTTTCGTTGACATCATATACTGGGTGTAACAAATAGATAGGTCATGAATGAAGCCACTATTCTGAAGTCAAATATAACTCGATTGGATATAACTTTCCGCAATGCAAATTTGCACACATTTTGTCATGAAAATGAATTCATGTCTTTCTTATCTAAAGAGCATATTTTCCATAGAAAACCACACGATATGTTCAGCTCATGAAAATTTTGAGGGGTATTGAACCTCTAAAACCTCCCAACTTTTTTATGCGTTACAATTAAACTGATATTGTTATACCATTGAGTTATTACAACATTTTGAATTTTTTCAAAACTTTCTCGAAAAGCCAGATTTTATCGAGATACGAGCTCTCAATCATTATCATTAAAAACATCATCAGTAAATTGTTTACACTTGTACTTCCTCTAGATGGATAATGAACAGTTGCTCCAACAATTACATAATATCAATTGAAGCTTTCGGTTATTGCGCATTTTGAGAGTGTTGAGTTGAATTAAACTCTCTGTCAAAATGGTTTATACGTTTGCAGAAATGGCAGAGACGCATTTAATTCGAGGTTAATTCGGCTAGGCTGAAACAATGTTTCAAATAATTACACAGGTCTTTTAAAAAATTGTTTTGATTTCGTTAACTGACCTTTATGTAGTTTTTTGCGGTGATTTCAAAAATGACATTTGTTTTTATCTATCACGTAAGGTTTGCCTACAAAATAAGTATGAAATAATTGGAAAAGAACAAAAAATGAGAAATTGTGGATTAATTTTTATTATTTTACCATGAAGTAAAAGCAAAAAAAAACAATGCTACATAGTTAAACTAAGCATAATAGTGATACACAAGTGTTTGCAAAGTGACCATGAGTTTTTGTAAAAACGTTTTCTCTCTCCGTAAAAGCTTCTTTTGGTACTTTTTCGGCTGTGTAAATTATCCCTTTTTAACATCCAACAGTAGTCTGCCATCATGTTAACATTCCGTCGACCTTCGTATCTGCGTTCCATTTCTTTTATGTCCTGATGGAACCGTTCTCCTTATTCCTCACTTACAGCCCCTAGATTTTCGGGAAAGTAGTCCAGATGTGAGTGAAGGAAATGGACCTTGACACTCATGTTGCAGCCCAACATTTTGTAGTTTTGTATCAATTCAGCAACCAAAGTTTTTTAGTTTGGATCTTTTTTGTTTCCAAGAAAGCCTGTTATAATATGTTCAATTGAATTCCAGGCATTTTTTTCTTTTAATTCCATTTTAGTGACAAAGCTTTCATTTTTTGAAAGTTTTTTTCATGTCAGGCCCAACGAAGACTCCTTCTTTTAGTTTAGCATCGGATAGACCAGGAAACTTTTCAGAAAAATACTTGAAACGATCTCCTCCTTTGTCTAATGCTCTCACGAACTGTTTCATTAGCCCCAGTTTGATATGAAGTAGTGGAAGTGAGATTTTTTCAGGATCCACTATACTCCCAATCAGAATACACCAAACTGACGATTATTTCTTTCCAATCATCATTATTTACAAAAGACGGATACTTTGTGACCGCAAGTTGCTGTTATAGTTGTTATACAAAAATGTATACAAACGATGAGGGGATTTCAGAAGACAGTAAAAGTGTATCAGTTGCTATTAGTGAAATGAAAGTTTGAAAAAGATTGAAGAAACAACAGCTTCATTCTTATCACTCAAAAACCGTTCAGGAATTACAGTCACCGATGAAGCTACATTCAATAGTCATCACCACCAAAAAATCCCTTACGTGAAATGAAACGATTCATCATCAATTAACCTCCGAACACAATGTTTGGGCAGAGTCATCGGTGAATCGATGAATAGACCTCTGAAGAAGCCAGCCACTCGTGCTGGCGAAACGTTAAGATACAGTTCCAAACCACGACGGTATTCAAACCCGAACGATGATCGTAACGCTGAGACATTGTGAATGTTCCAATAGGACCAGTATTTTTTTAATGAAGCAAATTTCTCACAGTTCTCACGAATTGATTCACCAGAATAATTGGAAGACGTAAATTTAAAAATGAGGCGAAATATGTGATATTTACGAAAGTCGGCTCACAAGCATTTGGATAACGAAGCTGGATAACGGAGCTTTTTGTCTTGAACGTTGGATTGAGAGGGGCCCTGTTGCACCTTTTTCTTGGCCAGCCAGAAGTCCAGATCTCAAACCTATTGACGTTTGCTTCTGTGGTTTCATGAAAGAAGGCGTGTACTTTGTTGAAATAATCGGCGAACAATAACTGAGGCATCGGATTTTCGAAAGTGAAAATAGATTTAATGAAAAAAGGCGTATACTCTGTTGAAAATATTCGGTTTTCTTTTTTGAAATGGTGCCAAATCTGTATTTGGGAAAATCAAGGCCATTTTGAACATTCATTTCAAAAAATACCACACTTGTATATATTTTTTGTACCTGCAAATAACATGAATTCTCAGTTATCAAGAATAACTGTCTGTTACTAAAATTTTTTACTGCATCTCGATAAAAACTGGCTTTTCGAAAATGTGCTACGAGGTGAAATAAAAATAAAATAATGTATTGAACCACTGGTGTCACAAATGACAGTATGTATTCGTTAAAGCAAATGTCTGTTATTCATTTGTATAAACTACAAGTGTTGAACAGCCAACTAAAAATATTTTGAGGGATGAAGAAAAAGAGCTCGCATCTCGATAAGGCTTGTCTTTTCGAAAAGGTACTAAATGGCGAAAAAAAAATTATTTAATAAACCAATGGTGTCACAAGTCTAATTCGATTGAGATGCGAAGAAGAATTCAGGGGTTTTCATAGGCTGAACAGATTCCGTGGTTTCATATAAAAAATATGCTTTCACAATAAGAAAATCATGGATTCATTTCCATTACAATATGTTCATAAAATATTGGAGATAGTCAATTTTCATTCTGAATTTTCCAAGGGCTGTAATTTTTTTCATATGCACATTTGCATTGAGGTACATTATATCCAATCAAGTTATTTTTGACCCCTGAATGTGGTTCAATTCATGACCTACTTTTTCGATAGACCCTGTATACTGATAGACTGCATGTAGACGAAATAATTGTTGTCATTTTTGTTATTTTTTCTTCAGTTTCTAAGTTAATTTCAAAATTCAGTAGTTTCTATTGATGACGTTGTTGAAAAAATATGACGATCCCGGATATATCAAAATTGTCATCGAGGATAAAGAAAATTTTGCTTCGTAATGTATACAAACAGTATTAGTATCATAATCACATGTATGAAAACAAGTGATGCCGAATGCACATATAAGTTTCATTTGTTTCAGATTTGTTGCGGCAGGCTATGTACAACCACGTTCCTATTCAACTTCTGGCTTTTCAGGTAACTTCATTAATTTGTATAGTGTACCGCTTGGAAACTGAATATTTCCAACTATGCATAATCGTAGTTGGCAGTGATCAACATGTATAGTTTGTTTTGATGGCCTTTGCAGTTATGAATAATAATCTCTTTCTAATTCTAGAATATAGTACTGCAATGCAGTCAGTTAATACCAAATTTCAACGATTCACTGCATTTTGGTATGTATATATTCTTTGTATATTTCAATTTTTTCAATAGCATCATGGTGTCTGATATGTAATATTCAGGGGATTATTTTTCCGATTCCTTCAACTTCTCTGATGGCATCACGATGGCATCCAGGTCCAACACGAGTCTGCTGATCACTATCACAGGTTAGCCATTAGCCAGGCTCCTGGTGAAAAAAGATTCCCTCCCTGCACAAATCAGAGCGCCGTCTCTCAAAATTTTCCTCCGATGTCCGATAGGAGCTCGAAAGAAGGAGCTTTGACCTTATCACTGTTACCCGCACAAAGCGGGGTAACAAACCACTGCCTCTGTTCTTTCTCATTGGTAACGAAGACCAGTAGCACATATATGAGATGAAAGACCCACGGGTTGAACAGCATCCCAAATCTTAGTTTTGGTCAATGCCATCGCTATCAACGTTTTAGTCACTGCCAATGTAACTGCATGGCAGTGTCGTTTTGTGTAAAATACGCCGGCAGGCACCTACAAAATGAATGAAAAATGGCTAGGACTGACCACCAAAGTGCAACAATTCCAAGAGAGTATACTACCAAGGCTACCTGGAATTCCCCAAGGTAGGAAAGAAGGCCAAAGAGTCTGCCGCTCTCCCAAGCAAATCAGTCATCTCAGGGAGAACGCGAAATCTGGACGTACCCAGGAAAATGTTAGCTTTGCATACATTGCATCCAAGGGTGCAAGAAGTTCACCAAATCTAACTCTTTCTAGACCCGATTTATCATCTCAAACACAGGGGTCCCGAGCATCTTTTCCGCTTTTGGTTAGATGGAAAAACTTTTCGCTAAATTTCCCCCCCTCAGTGAATACAAACATGATTGTTTATGGCCAGATAAACTACTTTACCCAGTTCTCCGAAGATTCGGAGAAAAGTTCTCTCTTTTGGGATGGCAATGGAAGTCGTTCCAGAAAATATTATTTTTAGTATTATTTAATTCTTCATAACATCGACGTGGTCATGATTCAAGGAACCCATTTGCGCAACAAACTCTTTGTCAATCCAAATTACAATTTATATCATAGGGAACGTGTTGGACGTGCTGGATGAGAAGTTCGCATCGGCTTTGCCATTGACAAAGTCCGATTATACAGAACTGAGACCGTGAGCCTCAAAACTTAGCTGAGAAGGGGTCAAAAATTTTCCACGGAATCGATTACTTCCTGAATCTGAAGATGGACTGCTGACAACATTCCGTCAATGGCTGCTGGCAACTCAACGGCAAGCACCGACCATGGAGCAAGATCATTACATATTACCGCTATCACTACATATTATCGATGACAATACTCGTGATGGACATTGCTGTTCTCAGAGACGTCTTTCTGGCCAGCCTTTGACCAACTCTACGTTCTGTCGGAAATAGATTCTGATCAGAATCCAGTTATTCTCATATTGGGTGATGATCGTCCTTCTCGTGGTCATTGCATGAGACACTCGCCGTATGGCGTTGACTTCACAGCTCACCTCAAGGAGACGCAAGACCCTCTTGAAGCGTTCCATACTCCCCCTATTCTACGGTGCAGATGCGTACTTCGAGCTCTCGATGAAAACTGCGTTCCGAGCGGCTATCTCCAGGAAGAAGCGCCCGCAGAAAAACTTCAATGACTCTCTCGTCTAATAAGGCTCTATCAGCGGACCCTCTTCCCAGAGGACAAAACAGCGACAGCTAGTATGGACGAATAAGTAAAACAGGTCATCATCGACTATGGGAACATAAGGTGGGGGGAACTTCTAGATTCCCTTGAACTTGCGGAAGATCAGCTCTGGTGGATTACCCGTAGGTTTGACGCAAAGCGTGAAATGTACTACTTCCCCGCCGACAAGGCATAATTCCTTACAAATAAGATGGAACGTCAGTTTCAGCTTAACGTTGAGGACGACGTTAACATCGACGAAGATATTCAGTTGAAAACTTGGGTTCCTCGTATCCTCACGGAATATGACGATGACAAGTGAAAGGGTATATCAGAGCCACAAAGGCCAAAAGTCCCATGGGATGAATTCAATAACCAATACGTTGTAGGAAAATCTCCCGGACAATTACGATACAGGTCCTCAGGGACTTCTCCAGAAGGTGAAAGCATGGGTCATCATAATTTCATAACGAGATAGGAAAAACGAAAGACTGAAGTGGTCCATTGAAAAGCCAAGATTTTATATCGACCGCTGAGAGAAATGAGTCCCCTGCTTTTCACAGATGATTTCACTGTAAGGCAACAAGATGACACCCAAAAGCCAAACTTTCCTAATCCAAAAGCTATAGGACTCATTATTGGTAATAGGCTAGATCACGAAACCGTTGCTGGACTCAGACCTCAAAGCCTGAGAGCATAAAGAGGATGAAATTCGTGGTTCATCTCATCACTATGTAACGATCACCAATTTATATTTTTTTCCAATTCTCCCCGTACTTTCACTCTCTGAAATTAAGTTAAACTGCGAAACGGACCTGATGACATCAAAATAAATATCAATTTTTCAAATAGGTACTGTTGAAACGAATAATTATGATTCCGTCATAAGTTATTCATGATTGAGTGGTTGTAGTCACCAACTGACAAATAATATATTATTTGGAAAATCATACTTTCTAGTTATGATAAGAAACGCTGGTGATATAACAATTGTTTGGTATGTAGCTGAATATATTAGAGTAAAACACAATTAACACCCATTCATAATGAAGGAATTAGGTTTGAGCAATTCAATTATATGTTTTTGTAGCAAACCCAGGTTTCCGTTTCGAAAAATTTTTTGTGCAATATGCACTGCAGTATACGAATTTTCCGTTGTCTCTGTTACGTACGTCTCTGTTGAGTACTGCTGACTTCAACACCAAGATCTCCGCGATGCGACACTGTATGGGTGTTCGTGGTGTTCGTGTCAACGTTGTTTTCATCAGGTTGGAGCCTAGCTCCCTTACCCTTGTAGCTGAGTTTTTGTATGGGTGTGAAGTATCAAATATACATAGTTTTATGATCCATATGAATCACTGCACATTTTCCAATATTGGGAGGTATAAACCAATCTGAACATGAAGTAGGTATGTTCGTTTCGTATGTAACTGTATGTGACTTGATAGATTTTCGTAAAACTTCGTTATCGTCTGCGTAGGTGCATGCGTAATACCGCACTGATGAAAGTAGATCAGTTTTATGGGTATAAAATAACAAACACTCATAATTAGGTTGATTCATACCAAAACTCAATAGCATCATTCACTAGTTTCGGAGACATAGACTACTTTTTTAATCCATTTCCAATTTTCGTATAGTGTATATTTTGAACCGTCAAAATGGCAGATATGAAGGTGAATAGTTTTTTTTTCGGTGACTCATGTAAGATTGAGAGATTTCATAATTCACGATCTCAAGATTATCTATAAATTACTCATACATTTTTATTTTGAAATTTGTTTTTATAAGTTGTACATCATTAGAATCTCGAAAAACCTTCATAGTGGGAAGGTCGCTAGAATTAAAGTTGTGTATTTTAAAGGTCAATCAATCGGTGTACTGAAATTTAATGAACATGAGATATTTGTGAAAAATATCAGGATTATTAATTTTTGTTTTCTTGGTTCAGTGATCCTGTTTTTCGAAATTGCGAAAAATGCAAGGGAAATTTCGCAAGTATTTCATACATACTTTCATACGGTGATACAATATTTTTGCAAAGACTTTTGGACCACATTCAATTTGTTTTCAAATGTGGGATAGATCTGGACATCAACATACTTTGGTGGACCCACCAATAACTTTGCTCATTTTTGAAAAGGCCCACCAAACGAATGATAATTTGAGCAAATTTAATGAGAGCAATGAAGACAGATTTTCAATGTCGGATAGATCAGGAGTATATGAGTTGTTTCCTTCTTCCAAAGAATAACATAATATAGAAGTGGTTCTATGAATGTGAAGAACAGTTACAAATCATCTTCTGGCAAAGGGGTATGGATTATACCAAGACGTGAATTTGGAAGAAACTCAATCTTTTGAAATCCTAAAAAATTGATAGATTTTAGAGTTCTGATATGGGTAGTTTCTTTGATGAGATGGTGAAATTCGCTTCTATGACATTTGAATCTTCAATTAGATTTCACTTAAACTCATTAAGTAGTCATGATACAAATTAATAACATCAAATCAAGTAAAATTGAATCAGTATGAAATCGCTTGGGGTTTCGTAAACTGTCCGTCAGAAATCTCAAGATGGAGAAGTACTTGAATGAGTATGGTCCGATGAAAATACCACCCAATGTAGCAATCCAAACATTGATACCAAAATGTTCTTGGAAATTTGTATCTCGGATTCGACGTTTGTTCTTATCACTCCAATCAAAGTGAATATTGAAAGATGCCACCGCTTGACCCTATGAACTGCAAACTTCTTCAATGAGAATTTCGAAAAACGGGATTCCAGAGCAAGCGGCCGTGAAACCTAATTGTTAACTGCTTTACGGTGATGATACGTTCGTGATATGGCAAGATGGTGGAGATACACTAAACAATTTTCTATCATATCTAAACTCTCGACCCAAAAATCCAATTCACAATGGAACGAGAAACCCAAGGGACTCTAGTCTTCTCGAATGTTCTTGTGAACAGAGTGTACAGGAAACCAACACATACAGGTAAGTAGGTACCTGATGAAAAACTAGAACAACCATCTATAATAAAAGAGGAGAGTAGGGAAGAATGTTCCACGATCAGACATGTTCTACAATCAGAAAAAGCAAGTAATTTTAAAATTACAGCCGCAAGTTCGATGTTTT